CCACTCAAAAAGTTACTCCAGGCTGTTTGAATACGTAAATGGTGGCTCTTTTTGAGTGATGTCATGGCGTAAATTTTTACGCCGGTCACATTTGGGTCATACTTTGTTGCATAAATTGGTTTCCGATGTAGCTCAATATTTGCACCGAGTGATCATAATTGACTGGAATTGACCTTTACAGGTAGTTATGGGGAGCTTTATACCTGATGGAAAAAAGGGCTCGAAACAGATTAATCCCGTAGACCCAACATCTGCCCCTGGAAAGCTTGCCGCAGATGGGATGACGGGAGCCAGCAGCCCACTTTCGCGGGGCACCATGAGCGAATCCTCCGGTGGCCCTGGGAGCCCACTCAACCAGAGCACCCCTGTGTGCAATAACAGCAATCAGCAAGGCCTCTCTAACATACCATGGAAGTAACTTGCGCTTACTTGCGTTCTTACTGTTTTGAACCCTTAATAAGCTTAGTTCAAGTGAAGAAGAGGGAAAATCACTAAAAATTCCCTGCATCATATTACTTATGTTGCTCTTTGTAGCTATTCTTTAGTCGTATCGGCACATCATACTAGTGCCTGAAGTTGAATCAGAATGTGCCATCAAATGTTGTCATGTTGGTATATATGTGCTTGTCTGCCCCAAATCCTTGGATCTACTCTTCCTCCATGTCAGTTTGAATATATGTTGATGATTATATATTTGTGGGCTCATTCAGTCCTGTTTAAATTTGCAGTATCCATCTTGTTGCTTTGAACTTCCAAGGAAACCAAAGAACTGACAGCCAATACTGACTCCAATTTCATACTGCAATGCTGTGTGCTGCTGCCTCTGCAAAACTTTGTAGAGGTTTCATATATTTTCATGACAGAAGTGAAATGCTTGAGTTCACTGAACTGAATATGTCTTCTCTTGTTAATAACAAGTTATATAACACATGAACAAGAAATTAGGTGAGACATTTAATATGATGATGAACTGATAACACTTGCATTAACCCACATATGAATGGAGGTGGCTTGGAACTGTGTTGGCACCTGCATAGGTAAGCAGAAGAGGATAAGATGAAAGAACAGCACCAGAGAAAAAGGGCTTATACTAAAATGATGGTGGTGGTGGATCCATGACACAGGTGAGACCATCCCACAGTGCTTGCCCACCCTCCTCTCTCTTCATGTTCAGTCTACCTGAGAGCACATACAGTTGGAATTGAGAGAGAGAGAGAGGGAGAGAGAGGGGGTGTCGTGGCTCTTCCCAATTGGTACCAATTTGGTTTACCAATACTGCTTGCTCTTCCCAAAGAGACCGCCCCTGCTCTGGAGCAAAATCCCAGAGAGAGAGAGAGACAGAGAGCGAGAGAGTAATAAAGATTGCGACTTTGTCATCGGGGCGTACGGTTTCGTCATCTCTTCTCTTGGTTCCTTACGAGGAATCCATGACGGTCCTGCTGTCGCGCTCTCTCACTCTCGTCTTCGTAGTGGATATGTTTCTCTGCTGATGGTTTTCCGTCAAAAGTAGGTGAGTTTGTAGGTAATTGATGCAAGAGATCGGAATTTTGTTGCTTGTTTTGAGGCGCAAGATTTGGTTGCTAGACTAGCTAAATTCGTGATTCTTTGTATGGTTGTCGGTGCTGAATTATCAGAGTTTTTCGTGGATTTTCTTTGATAAATGCTAGCCGATTTCTTCATCGCCATTGTGCTCAAATTGGCGCCTTTTCGGTAATGCCACTCTAAAGTTCAGATCTTTACCGGTTTTATGTGGAGAAAATGATCCTTCGGCCTCGCTTCTCCTCCTTATCTGAAGATTGTTCTGGAAAAGCAAAGGAAGTCGTGAGATTTGGTTACGAAGCACTTTTCTGATGTGGATTTCTACTTGCAAGCCCGTGGGTGATCTCTTTTCCCCCTATCTGAGCCTCTCAAAAGCCCCCCCCCGATCTGGTTTACTGAAACTTTCCCGAGAAATAGGTCCTTCTTTGCATTCCGTTGACAGTGTCGTCGAAGAAATCATGCGACTTCACCGATCTCTGCCGGTAAGACCAGGCATAAATGAGGTCGAAGCTGCCATGGCGTTCGTTCACAACGTGGACAAGGAGGAGCTGGCCCGCATCGATGCCATCCTGAAGCAGAACAAGGGATCCGAGGCCCCCGAAGAGCTCTTCTTTGTCCTGCAAGAGATGTAGAAGAATGCAGTGTACGACCAGAGCAAAGAACAGAAGAGGGAAGCTCCTAAGTTGCTTGATCTGGAAAACATCCATGCCCTGTTTGATGAATTGATCCAAAGAGCATCCAGCTGTCTCCCTTCAAGCTCAAGTGCGTCAGCTCCATCGATCCCTACGAGTTCAGTTACAGTAAGCATGGCCGATTCTAACACTCCGACAAGTTATTCAAGTAGTGCTTCATCTGTCTTCTACTCAGAAAATGGGGTTAAGAGGAACACTGATTGGGTGTCAAGAGATAATAGTTTCCTAAAAATGCCAAGGTCGCATGTCGATGGAATCGTCGGAACACCCACCCGTCCAGAAGATTGATCCCGAATTCAACAACTAGGCAAGAAGTCACTTCTGGTAAGTTATTTTAGTTTGTATATTCTTCTGCTCCTGTTAGAAAGACAAGTAATATTGATAAGTTTAACAAGTTTCTTTAGAATATTTGTAAGGGATGAGTATTGGTTCGACTATAATTATGTTTGCGATGGTATTTAGAGAGAGCCAATCCAAAATAGTTGGGACATTATGATTTGTTATTGTTATGATGGCATTTAGAGAATCATACAGGTATCGATCACTTAAAAGGAAAAGAACATTGTGATGTATAAATTCATAGATAAATAAATTAGCAAAATGTTCCAAGTCAGCTACAACAATAGCCTTAGATCAGAACTGCAGTAGCTTGTACATTTTTATGGGATGTAGAGTTTATTGTCATCTGTGTTTTGTTACTTATTCATGATGTATTCATGATGTATTGTGCAGGGGAAGAAAGTGGAAAATTGATTGAAGTCTCTGCAAAGAAGGGCACTCGTGACCTCACTCGTCAGAATAAGCTGATGGATCAAGTAGACTGGTTACCTGATTCAATTGGGAAGCTCTCCGATCTGGTTACTCTTGATCTTTCAGAAAACTGAATTGTCGCCTTACCTACGATGATTGGCACTCTTTCTTCTTTAACAAAATTGGATCTTCACTCAAATAGGATTGCTCAACTTCCTGACTCTATTGGGGATCTCTACAACCTGCTATATCTAGATCCAAAGGGAAATCAGTTGACACCATTGCCATCTTGATGAACTTGATTTGAGCTCAAACCAGCTTTCCTCGCTGCCTGATGCAATTGGGAATCTCCTAAGATTGACAAAACTAAATGTTGAAACAAATGAATTTGAGGAGTTACCTCACACTATTGGTAACTGCATTGCTCTTGTTGAGCTTCGAGCTGATTATAATTGCCTGAAAGGCCTTCCAGAAGCTGTTGGCAGACTCGAATCTTTGGAGGTTCCCACTGTTCGCTACAAGCCTACAACAATATCAAAGGACTTCCAATAACAATGGCATCTTTATCAAAGATGAAGGAGCTTGATGTTAGTTTTAATGAGCTCGAATCAATTCCTGAGAACTTGTGCCTTGCAACTTCTCTGATCAAGCTAAACGTAGGAAATAATTTTGCTGATTTACAATCGCTCCCATGCTCCATTGGCAATCTTGAGTTGCTTGAGTTAGATATCAGCAACAACCAAATTAGGGTCCTTCCTGACTCTTTTGAGATGTTATCGCATCTCCGTGTGCTTCATACAGAAGAGAACCCCTTGGAAGTGCCACCAAGACATATAGCAGAAATGGGTGCACAAGTATTTTCTACGTACTTTCAATTATTTTCGTATATTGTTCACTTCATAGATAAGTATTTAATTTTTTTTTTTTTGTGTTTTGAAGGCCATTGTGCAATACATGGTCGAACCTGTTGCGAAAAGGGATGTTAAGGTGCAACCATTGAAGTCTAAGATGAGTTGAGCTCAATTTTGCTTTTTCTCAACGCTTAACATAAGGAAACATGATAGCTTCGACTATGTGAACTGATTATAGACTTCAGGTAATTGAAATGAACATTTTTTTTCGGCTGAATAATCACTTACCATATGTTTTGTTATTGGTATTACCCATCTTCGCCTTTCATTCTAGCTTCTAAACCCATGCAAATAATTTTCAGGAAGTGTATTATCCAATGTGGAATCATGATCATGATGCACATCTGCAAAGAGAATCTTTTCCAGGCTCATGTAACAAATGTCTCCAGGATGCGGTTTCAATGTCCTTGAAACTTGGTATAAGGAGAGGGTCCTGCTGCCTTCACATGTAACCCTTATCATCTACTACTTGTTGCCGCTATCAGAAAGCAAAGTGCTCCACAGTTCTGATTCTCTATATTTTCTTGTAATTATCTCTCTTCAGATTGTAGTGCAGATTTGCCATTTTGTATAACCCAACTCACTAATCTGTTCTTTCATTGTCAATAAATTGTTTTCTTTTACACTATGTATATATGTATATATTTGTGTGTATGTGTATGTGCACATATGTATATATATATATACATATATATATATATGTGTGTGTGTGACAGTATAGGTCCGATATGTCTTCATCTTCCTCTAGAGAACGGACAAAGTGGTAGAGTCGAAGACAAATTACATCGACATCTATAAATCATCGTAAACCATTCTAAGAGCTTGATAGGCAAAGAGTACCATCTTCGTCCTATTGGCTTCAAAGTCAAAGGAGAGGGGGAGTCTCCATTATAAACTTTGACTTATTATTATGTTGATATCATTTATATTGATAACTGACTCATTAACTTTATTACATTGATAATTGGCTCGTTGACATAATTCTTAATCTACTTTGTTCGTGGGAGATTAAGCTTAGGTACTACACTACCGGAGTCAAAAGACAAAAAAATCCATACTTTCACGGCTTCCCTCCCCTTCATCCGTTTCATTCACGGTGTGAAAAGTCAACCCCAGATCTCTTCTGTTGGCTTGTAGATTTGCTCGACCCCTCTGTCTTGAGCTTTCCAGCATCAACAAGTGTAACATCTGCGTGGGTTGGGCTCAGTGACATTACCTATCGATCCATGTTTGGCAGAAGTTGCAAAGGGAAGAAGAGCTGCAAAATTGACTGTTTCATTCTCGTGATCGATTTGGTGAACAGAATCTATGGCTGGATCTGATCCAATCTAGAGACCCTATTCTAATCCCAAAATCTATTTAATGTAATGAGGGAAATATCTTCTTCTCGTCTGCTGGTTTCTTTGCTCTTTCACGAACACTCTAATCTCCTTCCTCTTAGATATCACATTCCCCTTTTCCCTCATATTTGATTTGGGTTTCGATCCTTTCTCACCGAGAATCAGTATCGACCCATCAAATCTTCGACTTTTTGCCGGCAGAACCAACAAAATCCGATCTTTTTGATGCGTCCTCGTTCCATTTCTAATTTGCTCACCAGCGGTGAAGAGGGAATGCTCATATCAGGTCAGTCTCAAGAATCTCATACCTCAAGATGTCATTTTTATTCCTCTTTGGGGGATTTATGTTGTAAAGATTGTTTCTCTGTCCTTCTACTTGTTCTTGCTTTCCTAAATGCCTTTGCCATTCCCCGATTTTAACCATCTGAAATGTTCTTGAAAGCAAACTTTCGCAAGGAGAACCGGCAAGGATTGCAGTCTTCTTAAAACAGCAATTTCTTTTCTTAATCTGCAATATGTTTCATCCATTTCTAATGCTGGCTTTTTTTCATGTTGTCACGCTGTTAAACCTTTTTAATTCTTTATCTTGAGACTCCAGATCTTTGGTTTCTTGGATGTCTCTGATTTGGTTTTCTAGTTTGGGGTTTCCTTATTAGCATTTCACATTTCACCTCTTTGAAGCCTCACATGACTTTTTGATGCTTGATCTACGTATTTTTGCAAGCCATTCTGCTAGTTATTAGCTTTTGTGCTGGGGCTGCCGAACATCCTCCTCTGCTGCATCTTTACTGGATATTGTAGCATAACAGCTTGGAGGTGGAAGTACACAAGCAACAATAAAATTCTGCAAAAACATAGCCTCATTGCCCCTTTAATCTAATTTTTTGTCCTTTATGCAGTTAAATGATCATCTGAGTTGTTTATATTGCTGGTTTGGGTTAATGGGTAGAGGCAGAGGCAAGGGGAAGAAATTGACCATGGTCACTGGTAATGAGGATCCAGGGAGTGGTGGTGAAGAGGTGCTCCCTACATATAAGAGGAGAGGAAGGCCTCAGAAGCCCTTGAAGGATGAATCTGATGATGAAACTGAAAAGATTGAAGACGAAGACAATGTGAAGCTTACTGCACAAAGCAAAGAAATTAAGGGTTCAACAATGGTGAATGGGAAGAAGAGGACTCGATATTCAAATGCAAAACAGAACTCTGACTTGGTCATCGACAAAATTAGTGCCGGATCGCAGTCCATAGATGAGGATTCAACTAGGTCTAATGGTTTTCGACATAATGGGAGCCGGCGGAAGAGCAAGCCTCGTCGAGCTGCCGAAGCTGGAGTTGAGTGCAAGTGAGATTTTGAACCAATTTTACTGATTCATCTATCATTCCATTGCCAAGCATTGATGATGACTGAGATCCTTGGTGGTTCACTTCTTTTGTTTTTGTTGTCCGTCTTTCTTTTGTTTCATTATCTTGTTCATGATTAACTAGGGACTAAGGTCTAAATATATTATGTATTAGTTTATGGTCATAGAAACAGTAAGAAATTAGCTTAATTTTAGCTTCTCTTTGCAGAGAGTTCTGAACATAAAGTTTAACTATTATCCATTTCACAATTGTGCTTTTTTTTTTATTATGCATTATCTTCAATATATTCTTGGGATACTTTTCATCTTCTTGACTTATGTACATGGCATCCTTGGCAACTCCTCGATTGTTAGATTGGGGATTTCTTAGGTGTCAGCATTCTCCATATCTGTTTCTATTTTAATTCAAGTTATTGCTGAAAGTTTCAGTTGCTTTGTGTATCTGGAAATTTGGGTTCTTGTCATTAGGTTTATACTGGGATATGTCTCTCATTCTATGTTCTGATTGTTTTGTGCTGGAATTTGCCTTAGAAATGGTGCCTCCTGTACCCTTCTGGTACTTCTTGCGTGTGTGAGTTTGTACACCTAGAAGTAGATGGTTCTTTGTGTATTACATGTTAGCTTAGCTTGACCTCATATTATATTGTATTTGACTCATGTCCTGGAAGAACATGAGCAATGCACATACTTTCCTATGCCTCAATTCTCACTCTAAGCCAGATTCGTGATTCTACACGATGGTTCACTCAGTTCAGCATTTGTTGTAATGATATATTTGGGAGGAAACTTTAATATGAACACATTTATTTTAAAGCTGGGAGGAAATTTTGAGTTCATCTTAAATGAAGTCTCTGCTATCTTGTTTTATAGAATAATGACACCAAAATAATTTGGTATTTAGAAAAGTTGATTGTCTAAATGATGAAAACTCCATGTGTATAACTTGAATTTTGTACATTTTCTTTCTTTCTCATATATGATGTTTTCTAGCTGTCTGCTGCTTACCACTTTTGTCATGATAATTCACTTGCTATGTGACAAGTGAAAATGGAAATTGGATTATAGTTGGAGTTTTACAACCTTGATCAATTATTGATGCTTACCTGATTTTGAAAGAATTTGTTCTATTACAAGCTATTATAAGCAAACTCAATTCTGGATCAGGATTTTAATTATACTATAAATTGAAATAAGTAAATAATCTCTCGAAATTGACTTGGATATGCCACAAAAAAAAAGTCTATTTTAGTTTATTATAAGTGCGAGGTGCTTGCCTTTCTTTTGATTAGGGACCGATATGGCAAAATCCAATCATGATTGCTATTACTTTTATGTTTCTCCAATTTTTGTTATTTGTTTTTCTAAACTTACTAGTCTCTGCAACAACAGCAAACTCATAAGTCCCAACTACTTGGGATCGGCCATGTAGATCTTTTCCCGTAAAAAAGAATTTTAAAAAAAATCTAAATTTTCTGAACTTACTGGTCTCTGCTTACAGAAATTGTCAATAAAGAATTTAGGAAAACCAGTTTCTACAATTTTCCATCGTAATTCCTACTGTTCGAGTTGGCCATTTCTAAGTCTTAGACTCCACAGGTATCATGCAAAAAGGAGGGATTAGTAGACTGTAATTATACCATGAAATGTGGGCTCTAAATCTACTCTACAAGCAACATAATGTTTAATAAACTTCTTGTCGAGATAATTTGACTGGAGCAGATCGACTAGCCTGGTATTTCAATTGCAATGACCTAGGTGGTTTTGTGGGTTGTGTTTGATATATCTAGATGTGTGAACCAGAGGTTCACTTGATCGAAGAAGAGTTCGGGAAGTGTTAGGGCTATCTGTGTCCGCTGTGTAATTTTGTCATTCTAATTGATTAAGATTGCTGATTTAGATTTGGGCTAATCTTTCCGATTTGTAAAACCAAACCTAACCTATCCAACTTGACCTCTGATTGGTACTTTTCTTCTACTCCTATACAAGCCAACTTTGCATGGCTAAACCTCGAATTGGTTTTCAATTAGTTAGCAAGCATATAGCTATGGAATAAATAAGTGGTATTTAACATGCGTGATTCTGTATTGCATATCTTAGGTATGTCGTATGTCACCATGTAAATTAAGCTGGAAGCTGCCCGGTGAAATCTGCTACATGATATGGTGTAATCTGCTGCCCTCTCACTTCTTTTCTTTAGCCATATCAGTCAGTGAATTCTGTGAGGTTTGTATTTGAACCTTTCAATTCTTGTGCTGTATCTGCCAGCTGAATCCATTGCACAATATGTGCAATAATAGAAGAAATGACTTGAGCACATGTGGAAGCTTCAATCTAAAGTGTAAGGTAAATTTCAATTCTTTGACCAGATCTATCAGAGCTTTGCTTGATTTTGTTTCATGAACTTTTACCAGGTAAAATGTTGAGTGGATTCTGATGTTGGCCTTCCACAAAACTGATTTCTGCTTTGTCTTTGCCCTAATCTGGGAGTGAAAAGCATGGATATCAGAACCAGTTCATGTCACACATCAACTTAATGCATCTCTTGAGTTTTGACAAGCTCTCTTTATGTTCACAAGTTCTATCAGAGAGATTAGATGGCTGCTAAGCATTAAATTAGTGCATCTCATAGATCAAAATCCATTATACTTGTCTGTGCCTCATCTTTTAATCATAGACTTCAGCAGTTTGGGTTGTCACATGGTGGTTTCTTGTTCTTTCTTGGTTGTCTTCTTTCTACAAAGGTCATGTTGAAGTATCAAGCGCAAGTAGGGGTTTGGACCATCAAGAGCAAAAGATTGCTCTGCAAGTCTTTGATTTCCTTGGCGTGCTGAATGGAAAGTGATCCCAAGTTTCTTTGTCAAGTCAAGCCACTGAACCCTTAGAAGCTCCACTGGGCACAGCTGTGTCACCCCCCAGCACTCCAGAAGGAAGCTGAAAGCTTCAGCAAGCATTGTTTACATTGTTTCAGGACACTGGCAGCCATTGCTGCATGTGTCTTCTATCTCTTCCTCTGGTGCTTAACCATCACAGTAGATACAGCCTTCACTGATATGACATCTCCCAAAAGCATGTGCCAGTCTGATCACATGAGGTCAAACATAGCAAGTGGATGGTACTGCTAAATGTCTAAACATCATATGGTCAAATTGGCCAAATGATGCACTGCTTTCTTTATTATCCTGATGAGCTTCTCTGGAATAAGATCATATGACCTTCATGCTTGGACCATCCAAAATGCTCAACATACATTCTGTTCTTCCCTGCCTAAATGTTACAATGTGATGGTGTCTGGTCCCAATGTCTTTGAAGAGATCAGAAGTTTCTTCCTCAAGCTGCAGGCATGCTTGAGATTCTCATACCTGCATGACAAAAAAGAGTGCTATGGGTGTTGGTCTCTGAGCATTGGATTCCTCCTGCATTTTTCTTCTTGCAAGAAGAGTGCAAGGTTTCTGACATCAATTTTTCCTGCTTATTATACTGTCCAACATTTATCAGAAAACAAAGAGGTTTCAATGTGTTTGGCAATTCAATTCTGAAAATTTTCCAGAATTCAAGCAATACAATATCTGAAATAAACCTCAAAGCTTTTGCAGAGCTATAAATTGACAGAATGTTCATACCAACCTTTAATTGTCAGAGCCCTCTTGTAAAAAAAAAGATGATACACTTCAGAAATAATAGAAGAAGATAGATCAAAATCTCTCTATCTCTAATACTTGACAGATTGCAGCTACTGTTTGAGCAGATGGAGCAATGATTAAATATGACTGAAGCAAAAACTTCTCCCTCTAAAGACTAAAGAACTAAGCAGCCTGCACTAAGTTTGAAGCAAGTGACAAGGATTTGCTCCCAAATTTGACTTCTCTCTCCTCTCTGGCCAATCTGATAGTGCCAAACTCATAGCACAGTCTACTAATTCACAGAGTATCTTAATGCAATATGATTATATAAATCTGATTGCTCTAATAAGATTGGAGAGAGGTCCTTAAGGCTTAAGAGATGGCTTTTCTCAACATGCAGCAACCAGTAGCACTTTGATATGGTTGCTTTAGGAATGAAGAAAAGTTACCCTACAAATTTAAGATTATATATATATATATATATATAGTGGTACTTCACTCAAGTGTAGGTTTTATATTTCTTTTTTCCTTTTGTTTAGGGAATGCATGCAGTGAAGGAGTTGGGGAAGCAGCTCTTAGTCTTTCCTTTGTTGATGCATGAAGAAAGGTGTGCCATGTTGAGGGAGTTGACCATCACCCTGCCGAGTTGACTCTTCTGCACTGACCTCCCCATCACATTGTGTGACAGTTCACTACACGTGTTATACGTGTGTACGTACGTATGTATTAGCTTACTTCCACTGCTCAAAAGAAGGCAGGAAAGTAGCCGTTGGCTTCGCGGCGTCTCACACGCAACTTCTTTTGGCTTAAAGCAGCTCCCCACGTCAGTCCATGAATCGAGTGATTCGGCATACGTGTGATGAGTACGTGCGAAGCACTGCTCTCTCGAGTTATGCTGGTCAACACTGTCCGGAAGTCAAACGATTTTTATGACTAGGATACCCCTAATGTAGCCAACGGTTGATGATGACTATACTTTGATCAAGATAAATAGAGCCGTGTCTGCCGCACGATACTCCGTCAATTCGATGTTATGCGCGATCTGAACCGTCCGATTTACGTTGCTCAGCCGCGGTCAATCCTAGCATAAGGGGTCTTTAGTCATTTTGTCCTCTCTTCCCGCCGTATTACTCAAAGCGGAGTCCATATTTACCGCACTACGCAACGGAGACGACGAAGCGTAGAAGAGAAATGGCGGCGACGTCGAAGGGGAGGCGGGTTTCGTACATCGCGGTGCCCTCGGAGATCATCCGCTCGCTCTCCTCCACCTCGCTTCACAGCCTCCTCCTCCTCTTTTCCCCGACCAAGAAGGCCTCCCGGCCCGGCCACCGCCTCCTCGCCCTTGGTCGCAGCCCAAACTTCCTCTTTTCGGTGCTCTTCTTCTTCGCGCTCGTGGGGATACTGAGGTCATGGCAGCACCTCGACCCCCTTGTCCCCTGCCCCCACCTCGGCCGCAGCCCCCTCTACTCCCCGGAACTGTCAGATTCGACGGCGGCGATGGCGGCGGACGTCGGAGGAGGGGTGGAGGCGCGTGGGGAGTTCTGGCAGCAGCCGGACGGTATGGGATACGTTCCCTGTCTCAACTTCAGCGAGCAGTACCTTGCGGAGGGCGTGGCCGCTACGCGGGCCGGACGCCGGAAGAAGTACCTCCTGGTGGTCGTCTCCGGTGGGCTCAACCAGCAGCGGAACCAGATCGTCGACGCGGTGGTAATCGCTCGCGTTCTCGGCGCCACCCTCGTCGTGCCCATCCTCCAGGTCAACGTCATCTGGGGCGACGAAAGGTGCCATCTTGCGTCCCAATTCACAATGTTTACTTCTGTGCGTAGAATCTTGACTGGTTCCTTGCCTGGGGCAGTGAGTTCTCTGACGTGTTCGACCTGGAGCACTTCAAGAGCGTTCTCGCCGACGACGTTAAGGTAGTCTCCTCGCTACCCTCGACTCATATCATGACAAGGCCGGTGCAGGCGAAGGAAACGCCTCTTCATGTCTCCCCTGCTTGGATTCGATCAAGATACATGAAGCGAGTGAGTCGTCGTCTTCTCCTACCACAAACGTCCTCAGCGCGCAAAACAGTTCTTCTTTCGATCCGTTCTTCATCAAATGAAGGAATGGAATCCTTATCTTTACTCTTGATTCATTGTTTCTCCTTGTTGATTGCTGGTGCAGCTTAACAGAGAAGGTGTTCTGCTCCTGAGAGGCCTGGATTCCAGGCTTTCCAAGGACCTCCCACCTGATCTCCAAAAACTCCGGTGCAAGGTAACCATTGCCTCCTCTCCATCTTAGTTGACCTGCTTCCTCTCGATTGGAAACCAGAATCGACTGGTGTGTGTCCCCGAATTTACTAGGTTGCGTTCCATGCACTGAGGTTCTCGGCTCCAATCCGAGAACTGGGCAACAAGCTCGCCATGAGGATGAGAAGCAAAGGTCCGTACCTCGCACTCCACCTGCGATTGGAGGAGGATGTGTGGGTGCGAACCGGTTGCCTTCCTGGTCTCAGCCCCGAACACGACGAGATCGTTCGAGTGGAGAGGAAGCTCAAGCCGGAGCTCCTCACAGGGAGGTCCAACATGGCTTACCACGACCGCAAGCTCGCCGGGCTTTGCCCGTTGAACGCCGCAGAAGTCACCAGGTACGCTCACAACCTCTGCCCGTTCTCTATTTCAGCTTGTAATGGTGATGCTACGACTCAGATTGCTGAAAGCACTGGAAGCGCCGAGGGACGCGAGGATATACTGGGCGGGCGGCGAGCCGTTTGGGGGGCGAGACGCCCTGCTGCCCTTGATGAGAGAATTCCCTAACCTGTACAGCAAAGAGAACCTGACACTGCCGGGTGAACTGGGACCGTTCGCTAACAGGTCTTCCCTCCTTGCTGCCATCGATGACGTGGTCTGCGAGCAGAGCGACGTGTTCATGGCTTCGCATGGCGGAAACATGGGGCACCTGATGCGGGGGCAGAGGGCGTTCGCCGGGCACAGGAAGTTCATCACACCGAACAAGCGGCAGATGCTCCGCCACTTCATGAACGCCTCCTTGCCGGCGTCGGAACTCAACCGGATTGTTAAAGAACTGCATCGGGGATCGCTGGGCCAGCCGGAGCTGCGTACAGACAAGATCGGCAGGGATGTCACTGCTTACCCGCTGCCTGAGTGCATGTGTGAGGTTGGGGCAAGGATGAGGTCGATGCTATAGCGAACCACGGCAAGTGAATTCGGATTCGGAGTGAGAACTCGATCGTGCACAACGACATGCAGAAATACACATTAAAGATGGAAGTATGCAGGATGGTTTCTGCTCTTATGTTCATCACTCTGTTCTTGTCTGCTCATAGTGCTTGTGCTTTTGTATCTGCTCTCACTGGGTACACTTCCTTCGTCAAGCACATAAAACTCGATCATCCGACAGATCACCATCATCACATAATTGTAGTCTTCCTCTGGTTAGCGCAGTCCAATTCTGCCAAAGAAATAGCAGAAGAGTTTCAAGGAACAATGGGTCAAAGATCCAATTGGCATCACCTGAGATCGGGAGGAAGCAGACAAAGCAAATCTGAACTAAAGCTGCAGAGCTGCTCAAGGATGTGCCACTCCAAGAACAGCAACAAGAGGCCTTCTTCAGTGCTACGAAGGCTGGGCGAACGTGAATACTACCTGCTACTACACCTACTGATACAACATGATTACAAAGAAACAAAAGAACAAACACGAGACGGGTCACCGGGTCGCC